ACAAATGAGAAATCGTGGAGCTCCACAAAATGGGTGGTCCTATGTTTTCAGATCCATACTTTTTGCCTTACAAAAATTTGTATGCACTAAAAAGATTTCTTCCATGCCATGGTTTATGCCATTTCAGTATCTAATTCCAGTGACTTAGACCCTGTTTGGTACTAAATGATTTCTGGCAGCTTGCGTTTGAGTCTTCCTCTGTTTGGCTGGAAGATCTTTTTGCTGAAAATCATACCCCAAAAAGATGCAAGAAACTCGATTAGAGCTTATTTTGGAAAGCTAGAAACAGAATTTTTTGCCTGTTCAAGTTTCATTTTTGCATGGAAAAACACGTCTTCAATCAAACGGTTTATTGGCTGCCAAGATTTTTATGTAAAAGCTTATTATCTTTTTGATTATAGGATCTTTTAGAAAAGACTTGTTATTTTTATGTAAAAGCTTATTATTTATTGGTTTATTATCTAAATCTCTCTCCTTCATTCGTTTTACACATTATCATGACTTTTCAAAACTGCTATAGATCCCTTGTGAGAATTTTTGTCCAGCTAGGCCATTAATTATTTTTTATAACCAAGCCAACCCTGACCCTCTGTTAAATAATTTAAAAAAAAATCTTCTTTTATCCTCCTCCATGTAGGGCTGTCAATGGATTGGGTCTTGTTCAGGACAGGCTGTACCGATACTGTTTCAATTATAGAACCGGACTAATTACTGATCGGGACAATGGGGTCTGATCCGATTAGACTAGTTTATACTTGACACATCTATAATTCCCAATGATAATAATAGTTTAGAACTTCGTTTTGATAATAAAATACTGAACTGTTAGGTTGATAAAAGGGCTTTTTACATAAAGTATGACCATTTAACAAACAAAATCAGATATGATTTAAAAAAAATAACCAAAACAATGAACATGTTTTGCTTTTTTCTCACCTAAAATACCCCCAACTCCTGTCCATCATCAGTGTTCATTGGCTATCATGAGAAACGGGGAGAGGACGAAGAATGGCTTGGGATGTGAAGACAAGCAATGCTGTGCTTGACTCCCACTTCAACGCCCGGCTGGGCAATATTGGCTTGGCATGATGGCTGGAGCATGAGCTTGAATATCCAACCACTCCAGTATACAAGTCCATGTCCATAAGAGGCCACCAGTTTCGGTTGGCAAACACAATTAGGACCGGTGGCGCAATTGGGTATCTGCCACCTGAGAGCTTCCGGAAACGAAGCATTTTGCGATGACAAAATCTGATGTTTTCAACTCTGGGATTGTTGTTTTGGAGGTGGCCTCTGGTTGGCAAGCGATTGATCTCACATACCCAGATGAGCAGATCATCCTGCTTGACTGTATAAGAGAACTATCTGATGAGGGCAGGTGCTTGCAAGCTAGGGATGGTAGGCTCAAGGATGGATTTTACAGGGTTTCATATCGAGCTATTGTTTTCTCTCAGTGGCCCTCAATCTAGCTAGGCCTACTTAGACCTGTTAATGGGTCAGGCTTTTACTTGTTATCAATTAAAAATATCGAGACCTGAGCCCGAGCCCAATCAGACCATCGGGCCTATATCGTAAGTTTGAGCCCGGCCCTAATAAAAGGCCCAAGGCCCGAGAGAGTTACATTCTAGTTCAGAGATCGTCAATTTGTCGCAGGAAGGGTCGACAAATTGGGGAGAGAGAGAGACCTGATGGAGTTCATTGGTTGTTGTTTGTTGGCTTTCCGTTGTAAATGTCATCGGCCATTGTTGGGGAGTGTTGGGGACGCCGCTACTATGGAGTCTGGACTCAGAGCTCGGAGAAATGGGGACACCGTTGAGTACTTGAAGTCAGAGCTCAGAGTTGGTTGTTGGCTGTGCCACTGCAGATGCTGCCAACCATTGTTGGAGACGCTGCTACTCTGGAGTTTGGACTCAAAGCTCAGAGAAATGGGGATGGCGGGACGCTGCTGATTACTTGGAATTAGAGCTTGAAGAGATGTCATCGCTAGCTCGCCGTCTATAGTATAGAAGATAGAAGATAGAACTACCACCAGCCGCCACTGTGAAAGGGAAGAAGTTTCAGTTTGTTCAAATGAGTTAGGGTTAGAATATATATATATATATATATATTATAGTATTTAATATTTAAGTTATTATCGGATCAGGCCAGGTTCGGATAGGGCTTTTTTTGTGAAATCCCAAGCCTCGGCCCAAAATCAAGTCGGGCTTAGATAATAGGGCCCGAGGCCTGACCCATGGACCTAATAATATGTGCAAGCCTGACCGCAGCCGGGTCTGGTCGTTGGGCTACCTGGCCCATGGACCTAATAATATGTCCAAGTCCGACCGCAGCTGGGTCGGGTCGTTGGGCTACCTGGCCCATAAACAGGTCTATGCCTACCATGAAATGGATTCTGTTAGCACTCACCAGAACTTGTATCGGTCCATTGCCTGCTCTTCCATCGATCGTTTCAGTCCCACCCTCATTACATATCTTTGTCATCGTTCCATCGTTTCAGCCCCTTTGCAACGGGTAATTGAAATGTGGATCATGCACCCGCTCTCGATGCTCACATCAGGCTCCATTTTCATTGATCAGAAAAATGATGGAAGTCGAATGGGGAAAAGGGAGACGATGAACAGTGGTGTGAAGTTTAAGAAAGGATAATTTGGTCCAAAAAAAGTTAATTTTTTGTCTTGTTCACTATTTTTGTAATATTTTTGAAAACATATCTGGTTTTTCCAATTCATCAAACTTTATTATTTTTTTTGATAAAATGTGTTTTAATTCATAATTATCTTATTATTTATGAAATTTACCCTTTTAGACATAAAGTATAACAAAAATTATTAAAAAATCAGAATATCTTTATATATTTTTTAATATATAATTGATCCGGGTCTAAATTGATTCAAGAAATAAAAAACCAATCCCACTTCATTTATAAATCGAGACAAAGCCATAGAGCCAAAACCTACATAGCTGGCTTGGTTCTGTAAGATGGACCAGACCCATTGACAGCTCTACGTCCAATACAAAGGTCCCAAGCCCATTTGGATGAAGAGATGGACCCCCCCAAATCTCTGTTGGAAGGGAAGACTAATAAATTTCACCATCACTCAATTTTTGTCAGGGATGGTGTAATAAATTTATAAAAACCATTCATCTCCTAATGATAATGATAATAGGGGGTTTTTGAAGGTTTTGAAAAGGAGAAAGGGGGAAAAAGTGAAAAGAAGATTTACAACATAACCCTTATTTATTTTCTCTCTATTTTACAATTTTTTGCCATTTTTAGCTTTTAATTGAACAGCTAGCTGAAGCTCTGATAAATACTAATGCAATCTGGTTTTGATTAATAAAAGAATACTAAACCAAAATTTATCTGGAGGAAAGGATGAAGGTACTACAGAATGACATTCTAAATGTCATAATAGACCTTCCACATACCTTTAATTTCCATGTAGGGTTTTAAGTACCATGGGAAGCTTGGGTTGCTGGTACTTTTAAAGTTGGGACGGTTGAACTAACCAAACTCCTAACTAGAGTACTTAACCTTACTATAGTTAATGGTTGGTAGGTTTATAGGCCTGTGTGATTATACATCTTTACACGGATGCCTACTGATAGTTCCCAGGTCTATGCATATGGTTATAAATATTTGGCTTTTACTGCCTTACCCCTAATCCCCTATCTAGACATTATGGGCAGTGTATGGATCATTGGGCTCAGTTTGGAAAGAGTACAAATATTTATGGTGTAAATACATACAAAATACAAAGTTTTACATTCTACATATTTGTATTTCTACTGCCTCCAAACAGAGCCTTAGAATAAAAAAAGGTGGATTATCTTTACGAGGTAGTTCCAGGCCCATCAAGTTGCAAAATGATAAACCAATAAGTGGGCCTCGATCGGTAATAAAAATGAAAGCAATAAGGTATTCAGTTCAGCCACTTCAGCTGTTATCCATAGGCAAAACCTAATTTTTAAAATGACAAGCATATTAATATTGGCAAATCTGAATCCTATGGTGAACTGCTGGGGCTCACATTCACAATGGTCTTTAAGGATTGGCCAGAAAACTCTTCTTACATTTACAGGTTACGGCCAGAGCAATAGGACCCAAGTAACCACTCCGGTCTGCTCATACAGAGCTTCTGGACTATAACTAACCAAACACTAGGCTCCAATATGAACCAGTTTGGAATGGAGGCCACGTCAACCATTGTTGGATATTTCAGTACCACCACTATACAATAAACCTTCATGGAAAGAGGTCCCTAGGCTATGTTTGGTTTGATAGAAGATAAGAGAGAAACAGAGAGTTGAGGTTGTAAAGGAAATTTGTGAAAAATCCTAACAAACTTCCCTCAGCTCTTTTTCTGTTTTATTTAATTTTCTATTTCTATCAAACCAAACAAAGCCTTAGGCTCTACCTAGGCTCACTGTCATGGCATCTAGCTGCAGCATTAGGAAGCAATTGCACGTACGGTCTGTTTCATAACTGAATACTTGATCCAGCTCAGTTGTGGCCTGTGGGACATCCACTCCCAACAAAAGATTCAGGTGAGGGGATGAGGTTGCACCCCATAATCGAAACATATCGATCACTTATTAAATTGCACTCTGTCTCAGATTAGTGTCAAATTCATCCATGGAAAAAAAGTTAGCAACTCCTTTTTGTTGGTAATCAGATGAAGTCACCTGGCGGTGGATAACAAAGCTGCGCCACCCATTCTTGACTCTTGAGTGATCAGAGAATCTTAAATTAATTTTACACGAGTTGCGTTGCCGTGTTTTTCACCGGTCGGTGGTCCTACCACCCTAATACTTAAACTCATCGTCTGAGGTAATTTGGAGCTTATAATGGTCCAGTTTCTTAGATGAATTATGCAATGGATGTGGACTACTACTACATCATAGGAAAGTAGGAGTCGTCTTTGCACCATGTGCTGTGAGGCTTTTCTGGGGTACGTATCAACGTTAATAGCAGAGAGGCCAGGAAATGACATAAAGAGTTCCAAAAGTCAAGCCTTTCACACTCTAGGGCGACAATGGACCCATAAAAGGATGAAACACTGCATCAGAAAAGATTTTATAGTAAAGGAAAAAAGAGAATATAACCCCAAATAATGCACCACTGAGATCTGATTCCTTTTTCTTTCTCCTTCTTCTTCTCCTTCTTTCCTGATTTCCATGCATGGAATAACATCAACTCAAATTAAAGTGCATCAATGCCACTTACAACACCCAGAGAGAGAGAGAGAGAGAGAGAAAAAAAAAAGCTTACAATACCCAAAAAAGGTGTATGTCTGATATGAGACTTACATGCACGGAATAATTAGATATGGCTTCTTCATCCAAATCTACTCAACACCCCTCTTCTTCTGTTTGTATGCCCATATATTTCTATATCTATATATCCCTTCTCACTGATGAAGATACTGGACCAATCATGGAATGCCAGCTTTAAATGTTGAGACAATGGGTTCTAGTTAATCAGTCATGCTCTTGACCACACCAGTCTGGTCTTCCTAAGGTGAACTCCAAGCTTGGGTTCTTGAGCTCCAAATGAGATCCCAGAAAGCTTTTTGTTCGGGTCAAATCGCTTTCCTGTTAAGATGAAACCATGTTAATTGTCATCTAATGACACCCATTTGTTAATTTTAGTTAATTTCAAAATAATATTCATCTCCACAGAACTCATGCATGGATTGTATGTATATTAATTTGAGGCATGCATGCATCATTGTGGAGTCTCTGGTCATGCACACCCCATCATTAATGGTCTTAATTGTGTGCATGTAACTGAACATAAATAAAAAAAAAAAAATTGAAACTTGGGTGTGAGTCACCTCAATTTGGTGCCCAGATCTTTGCTGAGATGGGAAGGTTTCTGATCTATGTCCATCCATGTCACTTGAGTTAGTTTGCAGCCAGCTTCCTCTATTGCTGAAAGTTGCCATAAAGAGTAGAGTTAGATTTCAGCTATTCTAATTGGTTGTCAACGTCTTCTTCATTGGGTGGAATAAAAGAGTAAGAAAAGTTGCAAAAAGTTGACATTCATGAAAGGCTAAATACCAAAAATGGCTAGTATTTTAGAGGTTGCAAAGGGGCATTTTAGATGAGTAGTTTTCCCTGCAAAGAAGATGATGGGAAGTCTTTTGTAGAGTTCCTTATCTCTTTTTTCTTAGTTTGGGGAGAATTACTGCTCTTGTCATGTTGCAGTTTTTGGAAAATCAATACATAAATTCATTTCTATACCACTATGTTTTGGAAAACCCTACTTCCTCATTTACTTTCTTGTGCATTTGGTGTTAACACCAATAAGAAAATGGAATGTGTGAAGAAGTCTCATCGAGTAGCTTATATGTAGAGAATATTAACGACACACGAATGTTCACGAGGAAGTGAGAATTGAGAATCTAGTTATCACATTTCTCTTCCAAAATTATCACTTCAACAAGCTGAAAGACCTATCTATTCTATGTCACTGATGGGTGTACAAAGATTAAAGATTAAATGCAACCTAGTTTCCTTTATATGATTAATAATTTCTTCTTCATTAGACTACTTCCAACTTTCTCACACACAAACACACAATAAATAAATAAAAAATCAAGTTCTAAGAGAAGAATAAGGCTTTAGTTGCAGTGATATTTATGAGCCTCTATGGAAATAACTGCAAGAATGCCTGTGAAATTATTCGATTAGTTAAATTTGCCTACTTGCTTTGACCTAAAACCATAAACAAACAAGGAAGCCTCAAGCAGAAATCAAATGAGAGATCTTGTAAATAAACCTAAATGCTTCCTGCATCAGTCAAAAGGGTTCTTAAAGATAGGCTGAAAGGATAGATCAAGATCATGTAATTATTTGTGTAACTTTCCGACAAGAAATAAGCTGTAAAGGACCTAACTCTGCAAATAATTCTGAGCAATATTGCTTTATTATTTATTGGAAAAGCTTGAAAGCTTAAGAAATGCTTTCAAATATGTGAAGGACAAAACTTCAATGATAGATGAACTTCTGTAGGGAAATCCACTTAATTATAGAATTTTAAATGGAGATTAAAATGGTTGTTAGAAAATGAACACACATTTTTATTACTCCAACTTCAGGGAAGGAAACCAGGCTTGATATAATGAATGATAAGAATTTAATTAATTGAAATGATCTAATTTTAATTGAAAATAATCTAGGTTTTGGGAAGATAAATGAAATAATGGAAAAACTCCTTGAGATAAAAGAGCAATTATTATGATATGGTGGCAGTGAAAGATACTATATCCATGAATGACAGACATTTAAATGAAAAGAAGTGTTGCCAGAAAAAAAAAAAAAAAGTGTAAACACTCTGACAGCACTGCATCAAACTGTACATCAGGAATATCTCCCATGCGCGCCTGATACATTCATTCATGGGGAGATATTCCTGATACGCAGCTGGATGCTGTGCTGCCAGAGTATTAGCACGCTTTTTGATGGCAGCAGATCCTGTCGCCATTAATATAAGAGTAGTAGGAAATAGGAAGGTTACTAAATTAGAGGATATGGTAGTATTGGAACATCTAAATACATGCATTTACATATACATGAGATGAAATAAAACGTCATAATCGTATTACTTGTTCCCAATATTGTGCATGGCTTAAATCATTTTCTACTTTAATGACATGTGATACTACTACTGAGAATCTTTGGTGACAATGAAAGTTGCAGAAGGTATCTCTGCAACATTGCCCCCCGTGCTTTAATAGATAAAGGGTCCACAATTCACATCTACCAAAATCACTAGCATTTGGATTGTGACATAACAACCCAACATCTATAGCAGTATGCCTAAATATTTATCATGAAAATATAAACCATCACTTTTTGTATTATTTTGTATGTATTTGTATTGTATATGTTTGTATTTATACTCTTTTTAAACTGAGTCTATAGGATTAAGGTGATGAATTGCAATAGAAGGCAATGGATAAAACACAACTTGTTTAGTATCTTAAATGAAAGTTCGTATGTTATCTATCTATCTATCTATCTATCTATCTATGCATAACGCAAAAAATCTGGTTCGGATACTCGAAAGATGGGTTTAATTTCTGAGTATTTCGGCCTTCAAATGTGAATTATAGAATGAGGAATGCTAGTAAACAAGTTCATGCAACTCCATAGACATGGTGGGATCCATGAAAGGCCACATTACAAGTGTAGGGCAAAGAAAACCAAGTTGTTTTTTACTAGCATTCCTCTTGGACATTTTATTGTTTCTCATAAACTATGTTCATATTAATTACATGGAAATAAATTAATTGAAGCTTATATATAAGTGGACATTGGTTTTAACTAAGAATTCAACTTCTAAAGAAATAAAAGTTGAGCTGGGGGTGCTGGCCTCCGTTTCTTTTGTTGGCCTGGGTTCACTTATATTTATCTATCCTTTTTCCTTTTTAATAAATTTTTTATTTTACTTATCAAAAAGAGTATAGAATTGGTCTCTTTTAGCCTCTAAAACAAATAATAATAATAATAATAATAATAATAATAATAATAATAATAATAATAATAATAATAATAATAATATAATGCCAATATATAAGAACCATGACAAGTTCACCACTAGGATGCAACTTGAGTTAGGCAGGGTTAAGCATCCATTAAATTTTTTAATGGGGCTCAAGCTGAATATAAGACTGGTGTAGTCGAAATTCTTCAAGTTGGGCAACTGGATTTGCATATTCATGAGCAAAAAGAATCTTTCCAATGAAGTCTATAAAATGGGTATGATAGGTAACTATGAAATTTCAAGGGGTAAAATGAGAACAATATGGATCTAACCATGAAAGGAATAACGAAAATTGGATAATGTGTTTTTGTATTATTCCGTGAACCAGGTTAGTGAGTGAGTAAATTTTCCTTAAGTAGTATATATATATCATAAAATGATGGAAATCTGACAAGTTGTTAATTTGAATATTAATGCACATTGAGAGAATTTGCAGTGATTTATGTGTAAATTTTTAGTGGCTTTCAAAGGTGTTGAAGTGGCTGCCTTGTGTCCTGAATACTTTGTACAAAAAAAGTTTATGGCAAAAATTGGGTTTCCAAAATGTGCTTTGAACATGGTAGATGATAGTTCATTGTCTTAAAATGATCCATCAATCTAAATTGAATGAGATTAATAGTATTAATTAGATCATTACAATAACCATAAGGGTTTATGTAGAGCTTAACTGTGCACATTATGTTGATTTTTAACATTTTTCACCACTACTTATCCCATAAAATAGAATACTTTATATCTTAATACCAAGAGGATCAAATATTTTATTAGTTTAGTAATTTCTACTATTATCTTTTTGATGTCTTTGATTTTTTTTAAATGGAAAGGTTTGAATTAGAAGATTATTATCTATTTACAATCCCTATATGAGGTTGTTATTTACTTATGATTCCATTAACAATGAAGGGCCATTCCTCACTGCAAATTAAAAATCAAATGAAATTAAGTAATTAAGATACACCTTGGAATTTTGGAGAAATATTAGAAAATAAAAATAGAAAACAATTACATTGAGATTAGTCAGATGATTACAACCACCTTATTAATCTAAAGAGAGAAATTCATCTAATCCAATCTTAATTATCCTGTAAACCAATTCTATCTAGACTGACCTAATTTACGAGGAACATAAATACTACTTATGTTGTAAATCAATACTACCAATTCAACCACTCCATTTCTGGTTATCTTATACGAGAAACAGCAAGAGCCAATTAGTTGTGTCCTGATTTCTCAAGGACAATTTTGCCCTTCCAACTTAGTAGTATATATAGTTCTTGAATATTGAGTACTCTCAACATTTTTGCCCTTGAAGAAAATAGTATATTAATTACCACCTTATTTACTAGTCTAGCTACTGACTATATATATATATCCGACTATCCTCACAAATTACTGATACGATTTTGCTTAATTTAAAAGTAAACATCTCATTAATTTAATGTTATTACATGTAACAACTTCTCATCTCTCTTCTCTTCACATTTGGAGCTCTATCCTATATTCCTTTAATGATTATATATTTAGAGTATATATAAACTTTCAACAAAATTATAAAAATTAAGATTCAGAAGCTCTTCACAGCTGATCGAAATAGTATATGAGAGACTCCTCCTCCTCCTCCTCAGCCATTAGTAGATTTTACTGTCCTCACCCTTTATAGCACACTCGCTATTTTACTATGATAATAACTTTATTGAATGTGTTGTACAGTTTCTGTTATTTCACTTCAGAAGTACCTTTTACCCTGGTTGGGTTAAAGCTGGTCATGCCTCCAAGCTTTTGTCATTATCATAAATGACAAGATTTTAAGTTTCATGTACAGTTTGTTGCTTGTAATGACTAAACCAAATTATTTAAGTGTTAAAGAGTTAATTAAAGTATCTAATTAATAGCTAGCTATAGCTGAACTGCCTGAACATATCCCAATGTTTCTGATCTGGAACTCCGCAAATTTAGGACTCCAACGTTATCTCTCATCACATTCTCACTTTTCAACATACATATATAATTAATCTCAGCGTGGAAAATGCAGTGAAGGGAATCCAAAGAGCTAGAGTAACGATGTTATATCAGACTGCATCAATCTATGGCTAATGCCACAAAACATCTAGAGCTCCGGCTTGTGTAGGTCATAGCTTCCCAGGAATTTTCTTTCCATGGGAAGAGAAGGAAAATGAGAAGAAAATATAGCTAGAGATTGGAATTAAATAATCAACAAGGAAAGACAATGTGAAGCATAATATAATGCATTATTAATTAAACAATGAAAAGAGGGGGAGCTCTCAAGTCAAGGGGTAGTCTTTTTGGTCATATGTGCAAGCTCCTCGTGGAGAGAATAAGAACCAAAGTTCAGTCATTATATATACTAAACAATAAATAAGGATTAACAGTAAAAAGAAAGAGAAAGAAAAGTGCAGAGTCGTTGCTTTATTTTTTTTATCTCTCCTTGTTGGTGTTCTATGTTTATAGCTTTGCTTTTAACTCATTCAAGCTCAACACCGCATCTCCATTGAAAATCGAAAAATTAAAGAAAGAAAAGAGAAGAAACAGAAAAAGCTAAAGCTGCCAAAGAACCCTTTTATTCTTCAGAAATGGAGGACGTGTGTTTGCGTTTTTCTAAGCTAAGCTATCCATGCAAAAGCAAAAGAAAGGCATTTATCTGTCGATTTATACCTGAAAGGGCACGTGGACAAAGATTTCTCGGATTTCATCTATATATATATAGAATGGAGGAGAGAAAGACATAAAGAATTAAAGATAAGATATGTAGTCTCATGTACAGAGAGAAGAGATGCTTGGGGCTGTGGGTGATGTTACCTTGAAGAGTTACTCCACAAGGTAGCAGTAGAAGGGTAATCTGTATCTTGTTGCACAGACCCATCTGTCGATCCTCTCTGGTCGATAAATCGGCGTAAATTCAAATCGTTGTTAGTGGCTGCTGGTGAGAAATCTTCTTCTCCAGATCCATCCGATTGACCTTCAACAAAGAATGGAAAGTTTAAACTACTGTAGCAGCGCCCATAGAACGAGAGAGGGAGAGAGAGGGTTTGGTGCATATATGGATATACGTGCTACATAAGGACACAAGTAATATAAATTTACATAAAAAATGGAGTTATATTTATGTATTTGTGTATGGATGGATGTATATGTGCATGTGTACTAATGCTGGTTTGGTGTTTGGTTTCAGTAAAAGATGAGGAGTGGAGAGAAAGGAGGATTTTGAAATGGGTAGATAAGTGCAAAATAAAGATGACGGGGGGGGGGGGGGGGGGGGGGGGGTTGTGTGTTAAGGCTGCTAAAAGAAAGCTGAAGGCTAAGCAATACGAATTACCTGAAGAAGCTGCAGGCTTGTCAGTCGTCTTAACAGTTCGATACATCTGCAAAGCCAAAGAGATAAACAATATACAGGTTAAAGATAAAGGACGGAAAACTAAAGAAAATAAGCAAAAGGAAAACCGTCCTCTCTCTCTCTCTCTCTCTCTCTCTCTATCTCTCTCTCCTTCAGACCCCTCAAGAAAGAAAACGAATTATTAAAAAAGAAAAATCTCATTCAAAAATCTCATGGGAACAGTTTCTTCTCTCTCTCCCTCTCTTTCTAGGATTTCTTGGTTTCTTCATTAACCACGAGGTTCATGTTTGGTAAGGCCAGTAATGACCTGTATTATTGAGAAATGATGGCTACTTTTTCTCTTATCATTCCTGTTCACTCTCTCTATACCGTCTTCTCTCTCTAAAAGTAGAAGCTGTCCTGTCTCAGGAAATCAGACTCATCTATTCATTCATTCATTCATTCATTCACTGCATTCATCGGCTACTGTGCCGGAGGGATAGATGAAGATCGGACCGATGGCAGAGGGAGAGAGAGAGAGAGAGGAAAACAAATATCTATTTTAGCAGTACCTGCAAATGACTCTTAACATGAGCTAATGTAAGATCTTTGACATCCATGAGCTCAAGAACAGACTTTGGAGTCGCCCCTGAAAGCCAACCATATGAAGATGAAATTAAAGGAGGAAAAAGAATAACCGAAAAGACAAACGGGATCAAAATTATGTATGTAAACCAGAAAATTGGAAAAGAAGATGAAAACATCAAACAAGACACTGGGCGCAAATGCTTTACTTTCATGGCCACCGAGGAGCTCCACGGCGTGAACGAAGCGAGCATGAAGAGTGCTTGTCCATCGCATCCTTGGAGCTCTCATGTTCCTCTTGGTCGGTAGCTTGGGCATAAATCTTGATCTAATCATCGCATGAGATGCATCCGAAGGTCCAATTCCATATTGGTGGGGGTGGTGGAGGCTATGAAGTTGGTGGGGTTTCAGTGTATCTGATGATAGTCCATTGAACCTCGAAGCAGCAGCTGCTATCCGATAAGCTGATGATGGAGATGGGGAGTTCGGCCCGGAGTGTAAGATTGCCATGGGATCGAAGCCTCCTGCCATGAAAGGGGAAGAAGGAGAAGCTGAAGAAGGACAAGACGAAGAGCAAACCGAAGAGGGAGACGAGGATGAACACAAAGATGAAGACCAGGAGGGATAGGACATTTGGTAGAAGCACATCTTTCCATCCTTCTCTCTTGAACGTTCCATGGGGATGAAGGGAAACGAGCGGTTATGATAGACCGGAATCCCTTTTATCGGCCTCAGCCCGTCTGAGGCATCGAGGATTGAGGGGGCATGGTTTAGGTGATTTAGTCGGTTGCTGTTAGGATGGCGAAGGTGGTGATGTTGAGAATAGTGGTCGGTCGGTTGTTCATGGCGCAATTCATCTTCTTCAGCTCCTCCTCTAGTGAAGCTTCTCCTCCACTGGCTCTCGGCCTCAAATCCGTTCCTTGGGTTCGCTAGGGAGAGTTCAGTGTAAGCTTGTGAATCAGGTCTCACGGAGCTGTCACTGTTGGACCTGAGACCATCATGACGACGCCAAAGGTCTAAACCAGTAGTATCTTGGTCGCTGTTGCCATTGCAGATCGACGATGGAGCGCTGTTAGGGGGGCTAATATGCAAGGAAAGATCAGGAGTGGGCACTGAGGAGGGCTCAATGAACATTGTTCCTTGAAAGGATACGTTTTTTATCTCGAATAATCCTAAGGAAAGCTTGCCGATGATATTTATATTCAAGCTGCAGTCCAATAGAACCTGGCCACTCCTCTCTATCTCTAACCCAATTGGGTCTCTCAAGAATAAATATCAAGAGTCCAAACAAATTAAAGCTGTGATCTTTTAAGGTGGGTTTGTGGGTGGTGTTCTTTCTCTTCTTTTCTCTTCTCCCGGAAGAATTTGGAGAATGATTTGTAGGGAGAGACAAGACTAGATATGGCTGAACAAAGGAACACCTTGAGATGCTCTGAGAGGTGAGTCCGAAAAAGGGCCCAAGGTAGAATAGAAAGACCCTTCTCTCTTCTTCAACCAACAGACATGCTCGAGAGAAAGAGAGAAGACGGAGAGAGATGGATAGAGAAGAGGTAGATATGTGTTACGAAATAAAAAAGAAATATAAAATAAAAATGAACCAAGTATGGGAAGTAGAGGATTTGGGTCTTCGTTCCTCGAGAGTATATCACAGATAATGACACTGGAACAAGGTCTCTCTCTCTCTCTCACTCTCTACCTCTTTTTCTCTCTTCTCTTTCTTACTGGTCAAAACACGCAAAGCAGCAAAAAATGGGCAGTTCGACTTCCTTCCCCGGAGACGACGGGTTAAAAAATGAAGGAGAGAGAAAGAGAGTCTTATGTATGATTCCTTTTCCCCCACCCTCTTCGCTTGTCTGCCCCCTTCTCTCTCTCTCTCTCTAATATTTTAGTCATAAAATTATATAATAGATAAATGGATGGAGTCCAAGCTTAAATGGGTTTTGCAAAATATCGGAGATATAATGAATTTATCACGAAATATTGAGTTTTATAATAAAAACTCATTGACCTGAGAGACCCCAAAGAGTTGTTTGTTTGCTTTCATATTGTTATCATCGTAAACCCTAATTCCACATACCTTCTAATTCCCTTTCATCCTCCCAAATATTCTCTTCTAATCTTTCAACAACCTTGTCTAGCATCATGGGTTTATTATATATGCCATCCCCACATGACCATGAATGATGAACCTTCCCATTGACTCCAACATGAATAGATTTCAAAACCCTAGATTGAATCAAGATAAAATAATATGAGGCCCTCTTATTTATTTATTTTTCTTTTTGGGAAGTACTCCATTACCATTAATGCCTTCACCCCATCTAATAAACATGCTCTAGGGTGCAGCCCTCTTGGGTCACTACAACAGAGATGATTGAAGATACCACCACCCTCATCTTCCTCTCTTGTAGTCCAAAGTCTACAGCTAAGACTATATGATCCAGTATAGGGGATGGATGGTGTGGGATATGTGGTATGGTCCATATATATGTACCACAGTAACTCTGATTATCTGGAAGTTGTAGACCAAACACCAGTGGTCCATCTCACCATTCAACCATTTATCCTCTTTTGAATGGCCAAGATTAGTGAGGCAACTAGTAGTATGCTATCTATAACTTGCTTAAAGCCATATCCTATAAAAAAGTATTACTGCAGTGCATTAAATATTGGACGGTCGTGATGGATCTAATTGTGCCTGTGTGATAGAGAAACATTACAAGTACTAGTGCGACTTGCAAAGCTAAATGTGTGTGTAGGAGCCTGCATCTATTGTACCTTTACAACAGTACAATCTTTACCATATCAGAAATGTACCTTATCAATTTGAGCCATTCAATTATTCAATTCCATATAAATGGTTTTTATGGACTCAATTCGTCTCAAATGATATAAATTATTGTACTCTAATCTAATATATTTTATAATAATTAAAAAAGAAAAACCCCTACACACATTCGTGTGTGCACGTGTGACCAGAAGTTTGCTGGAAGAGTCGAGCCTAATTGGGGGCCCAAAATAGTCCACGTTTTCATCTTCCTCTCTACCCATTATTAATTGGGCAGCTTAAGACGAACAACAATTCCCTTACTCCCGGCCTAACCCCAAATTAAGCGCTTTTTGAAATGATTATCAACGTGAAAATCAAAGCTTTCAATTTCAACTCTTAATTAATTTCCAAACTTTTCTACTTTTCAAACATCTGATAAATTTAAAGGGTATTTACTATATACACGGTTGGCTGGCATGGATAGGGAAGGTTAAGTGACTGCCGGGTCAATCCAAATGTGTCTCAAATCTGAATGTATAGCAGATTGAATTGGCCACATGCATTATATACGTCTTTGTGTGAGCTACTACTACCAGCACAGCAGTATATATACCCTTTCCACGTGGCAAAATAAAGCCCTTCTTGTGCATTCTCTTCTGATGAAATAATCCGAAACTTCAACAGGTTTTGGTCAAGGCTGGGCAGAATCAGCCACGTGAGGTTGAAATGGCATATGTGTATATCATCTAAATAAGAAATCTAATTGGGTAGGGTCTCTGTTTAGTTGAATAATTCAAAGAATTGGGTCTGATATTATTGAACAGGATTCTTATAACGTGTAACAATGGCGTTTGGTGGATCAAAAAGTTTCTCTGTGTTTCCTTTCACATCCCTAGTAATGGGTCAAGTTTCATACCAGCAGCCCCAGCAGGAGCCAAACGAAGACTTTCTTCTAGGCTGTTTTTTAATTAAAAAAAACTGAATCAATCTTGGTAAGGACAAACTGATTTAGAAAAGGTCTAATAAATGATTGGAAATAGGAAATCATTTAGATTATGTAAGCAAACGCATGGCCAAACTAAAAGGTCTCTTCATTTGATGGATGGTCCAATTAGTCACCTAATCTAGAGAAGAAGTATAGCTTTTCTAAATAGTTATTTGACAAGAAGCCAAAGTAGTTCTTTAATTAATTTGGAACTCAACATTTAGTTGCCTAGTTACACAATAACCACTCTGAACATGAGAATTAATTTCATTTCTGAATAATTCACCAAATCTGTTTCTTCTTTCTCTCTTATTGCTAATCTAAACCATCTATCAAATGGGGAACCTCTAGATTGGCCATGAACTCAATTCCCCTGCCAATCCTCCATGAAGTGTCTACAAAGGCAAGGAAAAAGCAAGAAAGTAGTATCACATTTGTTCTTATTTATTCTGTCGCTGCAATTGTTGTTGTTGTTCCATGAAGAGATCTGCAGGGATTTATGTTCAATCAGTAATGAGAGAATCTCAGGTCTGCGCCTGAAACCATTTTCCGTCCTGGATAATTAAGAAAAAGGATATCTTATACATTTCTTATCCCAATCCCAATAAGAGGCATGCAGAACAAAGACAACCACAGCAGATAAGCCCCAGTTCATTATGGATTGTGGGACCTCAGTACCTTAGACATTTAATAGAAAACAGTAGAATGGTTTCAGGATTTAGGGGCCATTACTTGGTATAATGGTAAAATAAAAAAAATACCAAAGGTTAATTAGACAGCTGGGACCTACACAACATTGGGTAATGGCCTTCTATATGTATGCCTCTCTTGTAATTTTTCTTTTTTGACCCCCCCCACCCCCCAAATATTTGAGGTGGAGGAGTAGCCAGCCACCTTATAAAATTATTATTAATAATGGGGGATAATGTGAGAACCTCATCCACCAAAGGAAATATACATTTTTAAGTTTAAAATATTAACAACCACCAATAGAAAATTAAACCTCTACTACTCCTATTGCCCATCTCATGTGACTTAAGGTTATGTTTGGTTTATAGAAAATAACAGAGAAACAGATCTGATGTTGAGGGAGAGCTCTTAATTAACAACTTTCATAAGATTCCTTAACATCATTTCCTGAGCTTTAACCAAAGAATAAAAATCTTGATATTGAAGAGGTGTGGATGGTATAAATGAGGATAACATTTATACCTCTAAGCATCATCGTGTCTTGTTCAAGAAAAAAGTTAATGTCTTTAGAATGATAGGTCAATTTAATTTGTTATTCCCTCTAAAAATGTATCACTAGCCATATGCAAGAAAATAGATCATACCTCTGTCAATTCATTTCTTGTCGGGGAGTGCTACTGAAATTTGAGTGTCACTACCTAAACCTTGGTGATGATCTGGACATACTTGTGAAGAAAACAAAACAGTAGACACTTTTATTGACCAAAGTGTCCCCGGTAATATTGTCTACAAAATTACCCATACAACACAACTTGAGTTTAATTTCCTTATTAGCGTCTTTATTTATAGGGCACTAGCTAGCCTAGGAAGAAATGATTGAATACTCCTAACTTTGTAATTAATGAAATTATCTTTCTACTAGCCCAATATATACATTTGGAAAATCAAAAACTCTATTTAAACTTAAAAGTGAACTTCATTTAGGTGGTGTTTGGCAGGGCTTTCTAAAAGGATCTTTCAAAGCTCTAAAACTGAAAGGATCTTTAGGCTTCAAAAGATGAAGATAAAGCTTTAAAATCCTGTTTAGTAATACTGTCCTCCAAACCCTCGTCTTTGGTAATACTGAAAAGGGTTTGTTTGGTTTGCAGTTGGAATCGGAATTAATAAAATCCATCGGAATTTGCCAGAATCAGAATGGTCTATTTCCATTAGTCTATTTGTTTCATACAGTAATCAGAATGGGAATTGGAATCAGTTCCCACCAGGAATAAGAATGGGATTCGATTCAGACTCTAGACTCCTATTCCCGCAAATCAAATGGGCCCTTTATAAATAGCATGTTTGATCTGTGCTTGTCTTAAAAATGTTGTCTTAATTGCTCAAACCCACCTTAAATACATGTGTAAATATGTGCTAAAACCTATTTCAATGGCAAATTGCATTTAATACCCATTACATGTTCTTTTGGTGAAAAGGCATTAATGGATAAATTGCCAAAAGGACTTACACCCTCTGCTCAAGTACACACAGAACGTCGTTAACATTCAAATTTACTCAAAATTGTCAACATGATGATGATAATTACAATACTAGCGGCTGGAAATCTGGTTGGGTTGAACCAGAATGAGGGTACTACACACCAACAGGATTTTAATGGAAATAATACATATTGAAATCAAGGTGGTACTCTGGGAATTCGACCTGGTGATCCTTTTCTTAAAATTTCAGTCAATGTTGTTAAATCTCTGATCGTTTTAACCGTTGCTCGTTGCTGTCACTAGCAAAAAGCTAGTTTACTCCTGTCATGGTGATAACAACCTACCAGATTGCATTAATGTCTATCGTTGATTTTACTCTACAAGTACATGAGTGCAGATATAGGTATTCTTTCTTTTATTTCACCTTGTATATACTTTGATATAGAAAGGTTATTATCAATTGGATATTATTTGCTTAGATAACATAGTGAGATGCAATCTAATCTTTCCATGAATTGAATAAGCTGAATTGTATGGGCTGTTAGTTCATATAAAAGAATTTGATGTAATATGAGTTTGATCAGAGATTGTTCATTTTTTAGTTATTTACTTATTTGGTGATAATGGAGGAAAAGACAGAAAGGATTTCGGAAACGTGGGAGAGCAACATATATGCTTTAGACAAAGGTAAAGTAGTAGAGATATCAGTTGCACTTAAATTAGGAAAAGCTATAAATTAATATTCTCTGGCATCAATGTTCAGGGCATCCTAATCAAAAGCTTTCATGTTTTGAAATCTCAAATTTTTATTGAATTTAAGCAGTTCGACAAAATATTCTTTGTGTTTGCAGTATTTGTCAGATGGGTACTACTACTTGTGTAAACTCCATTCTACTTAATAACTTCTAGTACTAGATCTCTCTATTGGTTAAA